CCCCAAAACCCCAAAACCCCAAAACCCCAAAACCCCTAAAGTCAGCCCAATTATAGAATACTTATATAATATTAATGGAAGATAAATCCCAAACACCAAATTTTGAAGATACCCAGATTGTTGATACTCCAGTCGGTAAGTTTTTCATATAGAATGTTTTATGATACTTGGTTAAGTTGTCAGATCATATTTTGGGCCAGATAAGATAGACTAATCTTGACTTTAGAAGTTACTCAGAATGACGAACTTGAGAGCAAAGAGCCTCTTAAAGATGACGTCAATTTAAAATCCGAAGAACCTGAAGTTAAGGAGACTTGAGTCCAAGAAAAACTGATCTACTACTGCTCTTCATTTGACCTTAACGTCAAGGAATGGTATTCTGAGTATGAGAACGTTGAAATATTTAAGAGAAGAATGAAATAAGCTTGGTAAGATTCTTATTTTACATTCAAAATAGGCCGCAATTGGATTAAATTGGTCTACCAAGCTGTTGAGACTACATCTCAGATTTCATCAGAATCAGGGATAGAAAGTGACGAACTTGAAAGTGAAGATACAGAAGACAACATCAACTCCCACTGTTTGAACGTTGCAATAGAGTTTTATTTAACCTCAGCTAAGAAAAAAGAAGAGGTAAGGCTATCTTTAAAATCTTTAAACTAAAATGATGATTGGTTAATTTCCCTTATTCACTCTTAAACTCATAAAATCTAACCATCCTGTTTAGGACTCTTTCGAGGACTTTCATATTGGGCTTAAAGAGTACTTTATCAAAAAGGGATATATCATAGTAGATGAGCCTCTTTTCGAATCTTTGGCTCATACATTCCACATTCTTGCAGAAACCGAAGAAGACAACATTTCTAAGAAAAAGACTGCTGACAAAAAGTTCGAAGAAGAATACAGAAAGACCAAGAAGAGGGACAAGAAGATGGAGAACAAAGAGTCTAACATGGAAGAAGAAAAAGATAGCAATACTGATCCTAAACTTGTGGCAAAATCTCGTCACAGAAAATATAAAACTATGATTCCTGGGTATAATATGATAAAGAAAAGAATCATTACACCTCTTTTACTTGCCTCTGAAAGAGTTGTAGAGTACTGGACTCCAGACCAAGCTGATGGTGACAAGAAAGATGGCACTGAGAAAAGCTCTAATGAAGAGGAAAAACTTAATGATAGAATGGCAAAACTCTCACTTGAAGATCTTGAGAAGAGAAAGAACAGAAGACGTAAAACTAAGTGTCTTCGAAAATCTAAAAGAAATATCAATATCTCAAAGAATTTAGTCGATAAAGCTTCTGACTGTGTCGACTTCATTAGTGAAAGAATGCCAGTTGAATCAAAGGTCACTAGAAACTTTGTGACTAACATGATTGAGCTATCAGACAGTGCCCTTAAAAGAATTTCAGATAGCTGAGAAGGAATTGATAGCTCTGAAAGTAATAACCTTAACATGAGATTTATTAAACCTTCTAAGAAGTTTTATAACCTCCTAATGTCTGTTTGGATAAAAATGGACACTACTAGCATTTTTGAGATGACTGAGGATCAGTTCATCGAAAATGTCAAACAAGCCCTAGAAAAAGAAGGTATTGAATGGTCAGATGCTTACCTAGAACCTACTAATACATTTTATAATGTAGCTCGTGAAGAGTTTATGAGCCTTTATCAAAGTCAGAAAGATGAAGCATCTGATCAAGGTGTTGAACCAAGTAACTTTATCTTTTCGGTTACCAGATTCTTTGCTTCTATAAAATCCACACTCCTTGAAATGTGGCATTCAGAAATTGTCCAAAAGAGCGCAGAGTTTACTGCAGCCTCATCTACAGATAATGTGCCAGAAGAACAAGAGAAAAAAGAGAAGGAAGAGCAAAAGAAGCCTTCTGGAGAATCATAATATGACTATGACGTCATTGTCTAACTTTATTTATAATCTAAAATAGGCTAGATTTCCATAAACTCAAAAGATTAAGGGGTTTTGGGGTTTTGGGGTTTTGGGGTTTTGGGGTTTTGGGGTTTTGGGG